TGCTTATGTGGTGCTGAGGAATCGAACCCAGGGCCTCAGGCATGCAAGGCAAGCGCTCTACCACTGAGCCAACTTCCCAGCCCCTAGCCTTCTCTTTGTTAGTGTTAAATAGTATCATGTATGTCAATAAGTAACATGGGCGCGATACCAGTGGCTCACACCTGTTGTAATCCTAGCTACTCAGAAGGCTGAGATCTGAGGATCACAGTTCAAAGTCAGCCAGTGCAGGAAAGCCTGTGAGACTCTTATCTCCAATAAACCACTCAGAAAAACAGAAGTGGTGCTGTGGCTCAAGTGGTAGAGCACTAGCTAGCCTTGAACTGAAGAGCTGAGGGACAGCACCTAGGCCCAGAGTTCAAGCCCTAGGACCAACAATACAAAAAACAAAATATAGTAACATGGGCTTGGGCCTTGTTTATGTTAGGTCTGTAGCTAGTTTAAGAGGACTAAAGGACAAGGTTCAGATGCTATACCTGGAAAAGTCATTGTTGGTTTTCAGAAGGACATGTGCATTCTCAAACTCCTTAGATGATAAAGTATGACCTACATATAGACCTACATATAGAAAATGTTGGCAGAAACTCAAGGAACTTTTATGGCAAACCTCCTTTATATAAGAAAATCTGGAGACCATCAATAGTTGATAATTTGTTCCAGAGTTGGGGTTTGGCTTGATGGAAGCATGTGATTAGTATGCACAAGGCTCTGGGTTCACTTCTTAATGTGGAGCTGAGACAGAGAAAGGTATGTGCTCCAAATCCATAAAATATTAGCCAGGAAGAACTGAGGTCCTTAAACATTTCAGAACTTTGACATTATGTTAGAGTCCTTACTTTAGGTAAATACTGTTTTATAAAAGTTTGGATCGACCTAGTGAGTGTTTTGAAGTAGAATCATGGGGCAAATAATACTACTACATTGGATATATTTTGTTTTCTACAATAGACTTTAATTAAAAATGAGATTTTTTTAGGTCTGAGAATGTGGCTTAATGGTATTACCTAGCATGCATGACACCCTAGGTTTGATTCTTCAGTAACATATTCTTCTTTAACACATAAACAGAAAAAGCCGAAAGTGGCACTGTGGCTAAAGTGATAGAGAGGCTCAGGGACAGTCCCAGGTGTTGAGTTCAAGCCTCAGAATTGCCCCCACCCCCCCAAAAAAAGATTTTTAGATTATTATATGTCTCTATTTTTCTTGCATTTGTTTTTAGAATATGAGGTTTAAATTTTAATACTTGTGTCAGGGACCCAGTATACACCTGTAATCCTAGCTGCTCAGGAGGCTGAGATTTGAGGATCCCAGTTCAAAGTCAGTCCGAGCAAGAAAGTCTATGAGACTCTTAAGTCCAGTTAGCCACCAAAATGCTGAAAGTGGAACTGTGGCTCATATGGTAGAATGAGCATTAGCCTTAAGACAAGAGTTTAGGGACAGCACTAGACCCTGAGTTCAAGCCTCAGGACTGACACAAACAATGAAATTTTCATGTTTATTTTGACTTTCTACTAAATTCTGAAGAAATTTAGGAACCTTTTGGTGATTTAATGTCTAAAACTCAAATATAGTTATATTATCAAAACTTAGTGTTTAATCATATAATGTTCAATGTAGCTATAGATATTAAAATATTATTGGACTATATATGTCTTTAAGGATTACTTCTCCCTCCTCCCAGTAATTACTGGACAAGTAAGAATAATTTTGAAGGTTTTAAATCTTTTTTTTTTTTTTTTGTCAGTCATGGATCTTGAACTCTGGGCCTGGGCGCTGTCCCTGAGCTCTTTAACTCAAGGCTAGTGCTCTGCCACTTGAGCCACAGCGCCACTTCTGGTTTTCTGGTGGTTACTTGGAGATTAGAGTCTCATGGACTTTCCTGCCCAGGCTGGCTTTGAATTGTTACCCTCAGATGTCAGCCTCTGAGTAGTTAGGATTACAGGAGTGAGCCACTGGCACCCAGCAGTTTTAAATCTTGCTGTACTATTTCAATCTGTTCATGCTTTGTAACATTATAAAGTCTGCAACTTTTGGTCCTTTCTACCCTACAGACCTTGTATCTTACTTATGGACTCACTTAGAGGCCCTTCTCGGTCAAACGTTGTCAAAATTCTAAGAGAGTAAGTTTAAAATTGCACCCTGCTTTGTTTCATATTCCAATAGAGATGAGGTAGTATGTGCATTTACATATCTGTGTATTCTTACTACATATGCATTATTGTAGGTATTTAGAAGTGGAATGGGAAGTTAAAAAAGGAAGTAAAAGAAGCTTTTCCAAAGATGTTATGAAAGGCTCTAATCCAAAAGTTCCACAGCAAAACAACTTCAGTGATTGTGGTGTGTACATCTTGCAATACGTAGAGAGCTTTTTTGAGGTAAGTTTCAATTCATTGGATTTCATATAATAATGAAATGCTGTATTTGACTTTATTTTCATATAATAAATATAATGAGTAGGTATTTTGTAGAGAGTTTGCAAAGTAAATTCTTTTTTTTATTAAGTAATTGTTCAGAGAGGTTACAATTCCATGTTAAGTTATGAATACAATGTTAATTGATCAATGTCACCTCTTCCCATTGTATTTCAAAAATTATTCCAGGGAGCAAACAAATTTCCCAAATTGGAGAACTTTTAAGAAAAAATACTATTTATTGGGCTGAAGACACAGGCCAAGAGATAAAGTGCCTAACATACACAACGCCCCAAGTCCAGCCTCCAGCACCAACAAAACAAATGAAAAATACTGCATTTAAAAGCTAGGCATCAGTGGCTCACACCTGTAATACTAGCTACTCAGGAGGCTGAGATCTGAGGATCACAGTTCAAAGTAAGCCCAAACAGAAAACTGCATCAGACTCTTTCTAATTAATCACCAAAAAACCAGAAGTGGAGTTGTGGCTTGAGTAATAGAATATTAACCTTTAGCAAAGAAAAGCTTAGAAACAGCAGTCAGCTCCTGAGTTCAATTTCCAAATCTGGGACCAAGCAAGAAAAAATAAACAGCTTACTGATCTCTAGTCTAAGGCTTGTTGACCTGCCCTGACACTGACCAACTTCCCCTCCCACTGGTGCTGTTCACCTTAACAGAAACCTGCTGTGATCCAGACTAACTCCTGCTTCTGCTTCCCCCTCACACATATACTGCTTGAGGTATTTATGCTCCCAGCTCCATTTGCCACTGTTTGTCTTTTTTTAATCATTCTCCCTTTGAGTTCAAAAGGAGACTATCTTTCTAGTTAGGTTATCTCCTTTCTTCCAAATGCATGCATTATCCCTGCTGCTCCTCTGAGCTCAGCAGGACTCTAAGCTTGCTACCAGTTTCTTTTGGGTGCTGTCCTGGACTCTCTGTGCTCAAGACTAGCATTCTATCACTTAAGCCACAGCGCCACTTCTGTTTTTTCTGAGTAGTTTACTGGAGATGAGTTTCCCTTTTCTGCTCTGGCTGGCTTGGAACCCTGATCCTCAGATCTGAGCCTTCTGAACAGCTAGGATTACAGGCATGAGCCACTGGCTTGCTACATCAGTTTCTTGCTGCTTTTCCTACTTTACATTTTATAGGGGCTTTTTGTTGCTGTTAAAAAGGAAATTTTTCATATGGCCTAACAGTGCTTGTGTGAACCAGTCTTTATTAAAGCATATTGCTTCATTTTTCTAATTCTAGTAGATTTCATCCAGCTAGAAGTCATTGTTTCTTTTTTTGTGTGATGTCTTTTTTTTTTTTTTTGTCTCCATACCATTCTGCCCTGTTGGCTTCTGTTACTCCTTGCCTGGCTGACATCTGCACATTGTTCAGGTTTAGTGTAAAGAACAGATCTTTTTGAAATTGTGTTGAGCTCCCAGATGTTTATTTTCATACTTCCTGTTCTACATTCCTGCCTGTCTTTGTCATATCCATTGTTTTAGTTGTTGAATTACTGCACACCTTTCATTTGTTTGTTTATTGTGCCAGAACTGGAGCTTGAACTCCGAGCCTCATACTCTCACCTAGTTTTTTTCTCTTAAGGCAGGAACTCTACTGTTTAAGCCAGAGCTTCAATAAAAAGCCAGACAGTAAATATTTTAGGGTTTCTAGTCATATGGCTGTGAGGTAAATTAAAGTAGGCAGGTTTAATTAAGTAGCCAATGCCAGTATTGTGGTAGGAAGAGACGTTTATTTATTCTGAACTGCCTGTCCCCTGCCCTGCCTAGTGGAGAGGCTTGGCCAAAAGGGCCTGAGGGCTGGTTTGCCCTGCCTTAACTAGGAAGGGGTTGGGGGGGGGTGTTTGTGGCCAGATAAGGGAACGTGTGGCACCGCCAGATTTGGATGTGACCTTAGAGCCTAGGACCCTCCCACAGTGTGTCCCATGGGAGGTGTGGTTGGGGCAAGGCCCAGGATGTGACTTCGGAGGAGGGGGAGGTGACTGGCTCCAAGTGTGCCAGTTACTAGGTGACACAGCTACTGGGGAGACTTAGCCAAGAGGAGGCTGCCTCACCTTCCCAGGGCGGACCTTACAATGGCCTATCTTTGCTACTCTCAGTTCAACTGTTGTAAAAATAGTGAACAGACCATATGTGAGTTAGTGTGTCCATGTTCCACTAAAACTTTATTACAAAGGCAGGTGGTGTGTAGATTTTGGCTTGTCTGTAGGTTGCCAATCCTGAATCTAGAGCATAGCACCGATGTGTAGGCAGAAATTGTCCTGTCTCTCCAGTGCCTAGCACAGTGTTTGGCATGCAAAATGTTCATAGTTCATTTTTTAACTTTGGAGTGTTTCGTGATTGAAACTAAAATGTTAGGGGTTCATATATGCGAGTTTTCTAATAGGTATTTACTCTTTATTTTCAGAATCCAATACTTAATTTTGAACTACCTATGAACTTAATGAACTGGTTTCCTCCACCAAGAATGAGAACAAAAAGAGAAGAAATTCGGAACATAATTCTGAAGCTTCAGGAAGCTCAGAGCAAAGAGAAGCAGCAGCACAAGGACACTTGCTCAGAAGCAGCACTGGGCGAGGGAGAGGGGCAGTGTGTCGGCCATGTCTCACACTGACCTGTGGTCATTTGTCCCCTGCCCCGCCTCACTCAGTGACTTCCAACTCTGGCTCTAGACAGTAAAGACCTGAAGTGATTTGGAAATGTTAATGCTTGTATAAATGTCATATAAGAAATTTTCAAAGGAGTATGTATTAAGTAAAAGTCTGTAAATATGTTAATGAGGCCAATTTTTCCAGCATTTATAATTATTTTTTTCACTTGTTAGGAAGCTTTTATGTTTTTTCTGTTAATAGTACTTAAAACTACAACTTCTAAACACAAAATAAAAGAAACTATTTATAGGAAAAATAATAATTTGATTTTTTTTTTTTTTTTTTTTGGTCGGTCGTGGGTTTTGAGTTCTGGGCCTGGGCCCAGCTCTTCAGCTCAAGGCGAGTGCTCTACCACTTAAGCCACAGCTCCATTTTCGGTTTTCTGGTGGCTAATTGGAGATAAGAGTCTCACGGACTTTCCTGCCCCGGCTGGCTTTGAATTTCGAGCCTCAGATCTCAGCCTCCTAAGTAGCTAGGAATACGGGCATGAGCCACCGGCACCGGGCTAATTTGATATTCTTTAGTTGTATATACAGTTCTTCAGTGTGTATGATTTATTTCATGGGAATAGTCAATGATCTATGATAATCCTTTAGAGATCTTCTACATATTTTCTAAAAATGTGAAAATCAAATTAAATCTAAGGCGTTTTGAACTAAAAAGGCATCTTCATATGCTTGAATAGAAGGAAAAAAGTTTTTGATTCATACGTGTGTTGAGAAGAACCCCAAAATGTAAATATTAATGAATTTATTCAAATAGTTAAGAAACAGTATTAAGAGCAATTTTAAGAAGTCTACCCTTGAATTATACTCCAAAAAATTCTACTTTCATTGTTGGCAAATGTATGAAGATATTGAAGACTCAGGTTAAAACTATTTGATAAGTACAGCTTGACTGTCAAATATCCAATGTTACCTTTCTATATTACAGCTCACAGTATGCTGCAATCTGTGTGATGTGTATGACAAACATTTTTAAACTGTGTAAACACAGACTTTAAATAGGAATTTACTATTTTTTGTAATGTCTTTTGCTATTTTTTCATTGATCATTTGTTCTTGTTATTTTGATAAAGTATCAAGACTTTTTGCTTTGAGTTTTTTTGTGCAAATTATTTTTACACATGAAAGTACTGTCTTTAATCTCATAATGCAGCAGAAATCTTCCACTTTGAATTTCCCTTTAAAAATGCTAAAAGGTAGGATTGAGTGGTAGGTAGCTCCTAGAACACACAAGGCCAGTGGTTTGTATCCCAGTAAAGAAAATACTGAAATGTGAAGCTTTTGGTGACACATTTACAACTCACATAGCTATCTTGAATATGTCTGTATAATACTCATTATTGAAAAAGAGTGGTACACCTTTTTTTTGAATCAACTTTGAGACTTGAAATTTACATTTTAATTTATTTAAATTTACACGTAACAAAAATAGAATAAACAGGCCATTTTCATCAGAAGCAAGTATTTTGTTTCTAATGACCATCTGGCATGGTGACCACTAATTAGGTCATTTTCTCGAATTTAATAAAATCCATGGGTATTTGGGTCATTGAGTATGTGGTTAACAAAAAAGGCCTATGGAGATTCAGTACTTAAAATGTAAACCTCAGCTCACCACTCGTGGTATGGATTTTATGTTTCTGTGTTAATTTTGAGCTGTCGTAACATTCTGCATTTCTGATTATTTCATTTTGTTTTTTACTAATACCTTAGAGCTACTGCCAGACATGAAAAAAAAATTTATTTTACTAAACTAAATATAACCAAATACTTTGGGATCTCTATCAAGCTAAGACAAGTGAAAACACTTAAAAACAAAATAGAAGTAGCTGTCAGTAAAACTGGCATACTTACATCTATAAATGAGGAACTGTGTTCGCCAGAATGTGTTGGCACTGAAAGAGGAATTTTAAGAGCCAGGCATGGGGGATTGCTGATCATTCCAGAGGCCTGGGAGCCACAAGCATTGCCTGAGCCTGGGAACTCAAGGACAGCTTGCCTGGGCATCAAAATCAAACAAAAGTTGTCCTAAAATGATTTCTTGTTTTTCTTTTCTGGTTACATTTTATTCTCTTCAGTTTTGATAAGCTAAAATCACAACTTTTCCCTTGGGCCAACATGTCAAATATTTTTTTTTTATTTCTACATGAGATATAGATTGATGCACGTCAACTTCCTAGAGGAGAATACTGAGCTATTTGATAGTATTTGTCCCACCCTTTGTGAACTTTTCGTTTTGAAAATTAAGCTAATGACTGCAGTATATATATTGAAACATTTGGAAGTTGTATAGTTGTGCCTCTAGACATGAGAATCTTTAATATCTGTGCATTCCCTTGATAATTGTGTACTCTGGTCCTTCTAAATGTGGTATAAAGTGGATGGCAACCTTTTAAAATGTGTGATGAGTACTTACGTGTTGTAAAACAGAACTTTAAGGTCTAGAGTTTGTTACTAGACACTGAAACTGCATGACAGGTATCTGATGTCTTAAATTATTAAATAGGTCTGTTGTATTGATTTTCTCACTGGGTAGAATTACAGTTAATCATTTTTAGAAGAGTTTTAGATTACTTGCCATAAATTTTGTATGTGTCCCAGGTGTTGGTATTTGAGGGAACAAAGGTAATGCTTAGTCCCTTCCTTTGCCGTTGCTGAACATACTTCAGACAACTGAAAACTAGTATTTCAGGTTCACTCAGACCTAAAAGGCTAGCTTTCCTTTGCATGTAACCTAGACTTAAACTCTTAGTGAATTAAATGTAGGGGGTTTTATTTGAAAACAGAAAGTGATCATATTTGTATCTTGTTTTAAGTCACCAAAATGAATTCAGTATTTATCTCCTTAAAACTATTTCTGCTCTCTATGGTAGAATGTAAAAACAATTCCCCCAAAAGTAAAGACCCAAGTGAAATCACAGAATGGGACAGGACCTAGCAGAGATGAAACAGGATGGTGCCACATGCCTAGAAGAGATAAGGTAACCTGCCGCTCTGTCTAGAGGTGGAAGGAGTGGCTGGAGACTGGAAGGCAGGCAGCCTAACATGTTCACGAGTGAATAGCTTTCTAAAATGGCCACCAGTGTACAGAGGCTTGTCTCTGCAGATCAGAATGCCACAGGTGCTGCCTGCTAAAGCAAATGGACATTTTTCAGGATTTTTCTTTTTTGCTACATTTTGTCCCTTTACCTTCAGGAAGCAAAAAGGTCTGAAAGTTACTGTTCCAAACATTAAATTTTCCCAAATAGGGGGGATTGCTGACCCAGTGAAGGAATGTGAACCTTGGAAAGAAGCCAGTCCAAGTAGGTAATGGCAGAGTATCCTCCATCGCACTTGTGGTCCCAAAGCTTGGAAAGGTTCAAAGCTTCCAGGTTCTTAGTGCAGGCCATTCTGGTTGAGTTGTGCTAGAGTAAGGAGTATCTAAAACCAAGAAAGGTGCCAAAAGAAAAAAAGTACTCAGTGAAAATAATAGCATATATATTTACCTTTATATTTTTTCTTTAACTGAAAAGGTATTCAAGCCTGTTAACAGTTTGTTACCATAATTTGTTTTATACATGGTAATAGCATAAGACTTACTTCGATGAAAAGAAAACATCCCTTCTATGAGCCACTACGTGCCAGAGGTGAAACAAAACCAAATGTTTTCTTATCTTCGTTACAGATGGGCCTTCTCCAGTGTATGCCTTTTGGATAAAGCAGAATGTATTAAGGGAATTCAGCCTAATCTAGAAGGTTAAGAATTTTCCAGAGGTGTGACATTTGAACTATTGGTAGACAGACATAACATTCTAGAGGTGATGTAAGGAATAGCACTCAGACTGTCAAAGGCCATGAGGTAGGAAAAATGATTTGTTCTAAATAATAATAGCTTTGTTTATGAAACAAATACTAGACATTGGTTTAGATAAATTCATTTAATCTTTCACTATGACCTTGTGAGATAATATTTGTACAGTTGCTACCCAACTTAATGCGACAAACAAGCCCAAAGAGAAGAGTCATACGGCATTTGGACTCAGTCTTGCTCAAAGAGCATAGGAGCTGTACTAGATCAAAAATGAAAATAAATTAGATGATCATATTTTACAGAATGTGGCAGAATCTTTATTATTGAAACTAGGCTTCCGGGAGTTGGTTGGATTACATTATTTTTTTAGGGTATGTTTCTTAGAAGGCCTGTGTAAATGAGGTTCAGGATAAATAGCCTAGAACCTGTGTTGAAGATGTCAGTTCTTTACCATGAAAGTCATGCTGCAAGCATTTCATGTAGAGGAAGAATGTGTTCACATGTGATGAAAAAATCACAACAGTAGGAGAGAAGAATGAGCATGAGTCACTACTAATTATGAGTTGCTGTAGTAGCTAAATTAGACAGTTAACGTGATAGAAATAAGATTTGGATATTTCATTTGAAACTTCCTTTAAGAAATACGAACCATCAGCTGGAAAGGATCTTTTGTTAAAGTCAAAAACCTTTTTTTTTTCTTTTCCTTCATGATCTAAGCATTGGTAAAGATAGTTTAAACATGTAAAGCTAAAAATGAAAAGAACTAGCTGAATACATTATTGACAAAACTATCTTCTCAAATGAAGCTACCAAAGAAAAGCCAGCTTTGACAAATTTTAAACTTATATTTTCTATAAATACCATGAAGAGAAAATGTAAAATTAGAACTAAATGAAAGTATTCTGTTTACTAGGTAAAGTACTGTATAGCTGTAAAAGCAATTCTTTCTACTTGACTATTTCTGCAATATTTCCAAATATGCTGGGAGGACTTCCCAGAATGCCTGTAACTTAGTTACGTTTCCTATCGTGTGCTGCCATCCAGTCCTCCTCCACAGCTAATTAGATGTCAGTGATGTTGAGGAAAATCCGACTTGTAGTATCCACATGACCTACCTAGGAAATAAAAATTGTTCAAGCAGATCTGGGCATCAGGAAATTGAGTTGAGAATAGGAAAGAAATTTGTATGTTGGAAAAAATGTAGATGTGTTGTTTTTTTATTAATGACAGTCTCATAGATTACCTTGTTTTGAAGATTTTTCCCCCACACATTTTTACCTGTGAAATCTAAGTTTGCATCAGAACCGCAAGGACAGCTGGCCTGGTCTCCATAGTTTTGGATTTAGGTCAGCCATGAGGCCTGTAGAATAATATCACCAGCATTCTGCAGAGTACAGTATGAAATTATTTTACCCTATTTAACAATGTTTTATTTGTACTTACAAATAAATAGCTGGAGCAAGCGAATCAACACTAAAACATTTTGCTCATTTT